TCTTATGGCAAATTAAAAATATATTTTTGCGCAATTTTTTATAAATACTTAAAAATTTAAACAAAATCATATATTTCAAGATAAAAACAATTTGTAAATTATTTTATAATTAAGAATTTATATATTTTTAATTTTAATAGTATTAACGCTTAAAATTGTAATACAATATTCTTTATAAATGGTTCTAACTAATCAAAAAAATCTAAAAAAATATTTAAACATACTTTTTTTTACAGTCATTTGAAGATAAATTTTTAAACAAAGAATAACAAATTTAGTTATTTTGTTATAATTCAAAAATATTATTCATAGAATTTTATGTATATTATTATATTTCACAATATATAATAAAATCTTCGAAATAATAGATTAATATTAAGCGTTTTCGACGAAACTTATTCAACTTACTATATATTACTAATAGTTAAATAAATTACTATATTATGGCATTATAAATATGTAATAAAATGTATACTTAATAATCTAGGTTCACAGACCATCTCCTCTACACAAAATTGTTTTTTATTCACAATGATTTATTGTTAAATTCAAATTTAACATATCCATTTCTGTGATATACTCAATAACGAGGTACACTTACACCTATGTAACACGATAACTTACTTTCCTATTTTTTTTTTTTTAAACTTAAATTTAGCAAAAAAAAAACATTGAATTTAAATGGATTACCAACATCATTGTTCAATCTTATAATATCTAAGATATAATTCGTTCTAGCAATTATTTTATGATTCCCCCCGACAAATTATATTTTCCTGAGAAATAAAATATAAAACACAGTAAACTATTTTATAAAATAATTTTTAACAACGTTTTACTTTAACGTATGTCTTAATAAACGAGTAACAACAGTTCTTAAGAATTTAAATTTTTACAAAATGCTTACATTAAAATTGTATGTAATGAAAACTCATGTTATAGTATTTTAAAAATTCACTTGATATATTATATGATGTTATAAAACTTTATTTTTATAATATATATATATCTATTAATGAAAACTATATAAAACAATAAAAAATATGTCAAACGATGGTAATATTGGTATAATTTTTTGTCAAATTTTCTATTTAATTCATCTATTACAATGACGTATCTAACACATAAAGTACCTATGCTTACTTTAATATTTCATTCTTTTTTTTTTTAATTTAAAAATTTATTTAAAAAAAAAAAATGATTGGAAAATAATACAAATGTTATAGTTATTTCAAAAAACGCTTGTTTTGAGTATCATCCAATTTAAAAAATAGGTCTACGAGAAACTTTTGTAGCTGACATTTACGTTTTTACACAACACTCACTATAAATCAATACAAAAATATCATAATTTTAAACATAAAAAGTTACTACGTTGTACATCAAAAACTAAAATATATTTTTAAGTGATTACATATTTTTTGAATCGTGTTTATTTATACTATCCAGTATAAATACTTAAGGTTCTGAAATACCATGAAAGGTTTTCACTGATGTTTTCTTTTTAAATAAAAGAAAAAAAATTGTTGCTCTTCATTTATTATCTTGGAATGGCAGTTTTAATATTACTTAAGAGTGGAAATAAGTACGTATCATCAGCCAAAATCAAATTACTAGACGTTTCAGAAGGTAGAATTTGTAAAACGGTCCACACAACCAAAGTCCACATAGTCACTCATATTTAGTGTTATGTATATTACAGGGGGAAAAGATCATCGTATAAAACAATAAATTAACATTTTTATTCTTCAAAAGACATAATAATTTCATTCCCATCATACATTTTAAAATCTGTATATAAATATGAATCCAAAAATGTATTTTACTTAGAATGACTTAAGAGAATACTTTAAAGTAATTTAATGTAAAAACTAAAAGATTTCAATCAAAAAAAAGTTTAATTAGTTGAAAAGTAAAATCATTCAATTCTAATGTTTATTGTATTAATTAATTAATAGTCTCAAATATTTTTATTTATCCCACTGAGGTTTTTAATTGAATATAATAGATAGATTTTGGGGGAAATTGCTTTTTAACCTAGACTAACAGTTTTTTTTTTTGATTTTATTTTATTAAATGTTTTAAAAGAAATTTTTTCATTAAAATAAAATAAATATTGTCAAAAAAGGTATTTTTATAAAGTATATCATAAATTTTCTGATTTCAAATATTTAAACAAAAAAATTATATAAGCAGATTTATACAATACAGTAAAAATTACCTTAATGCTTTTAATGATTCCAATCTGTTACATGCTATTAGTATCAAAGTAAACTTAACATTTTAAAACAATAGGTCACTATTTTGTTGGAGAATAATTTAATGGAAAAACATTATATACGAATCATTTATCACGATTTCCGAATGATAGGGGTCTAAAAGCATTTTTTGTTCACTGATGCTATAGAAACTTGAATTTAATTTCATGATAAGAAATTTTACATTTAAAATATTAACAACTAATATATAAAAACAATTTAAACATCGTTAATTTTTTTTTTAACTAATACATGTCGAATTTTATCTTCTTGATAACTTTACCGAAGTTAATTTTCATTATTTTCTCAAAAAAATACTATTTAAAGGAGAATATTTGAAATTATTTTACAAATAAAACTTATTATTTGTTAGCTTAGCACAAAAATATTTTATACACAATTTACAGTTGTATAATTTATAATAAAGTTATTAAAACATCCAAGTATAACGGTGAAAATTAAATACAAAAGCTCAATATCCAGAGAAACCACGTAAAAATTAAACTCTATAATATTAAAGTATATTCATCCTAAATATATAATATATCTAAATAAAATACCTAATAGTATAAATAATAATAAATCAATTTTTTGAATTTTAATTAACTTTAAAGTTAATGCTTTTAATATTAAGTAATTTTCAAAAATACTATAAATATGAACATGAAACTGATCGCGTGGTATAAATAAACGTTTTTGATCAGAAAAATTAAATTATGCGTAATATTAAAAAATTTAATTTAATTTTACCTCGAAAAAAGCCGCTTTCTTTATTCATACAAAATTTTTTTAGCTTTCTTTTCATTCCTATTTATCATCCAGTTTAATATTAATACATAAAAATAAATAATAAAATAAAACTTTAAAAATATTTGGGTTTTTTTCTTGTTAAAAATAGAAAAATAAAATTATTATAGCTTTGAGATGTATATAAGTAGTTAAATATATTGGTTTATGAGTAAGAAAAAAATAAATATACATAAATATAAATGATTATTAGTAACCTATAATATGTATTCTCAATAGAATATTTTATATTTAACATTTATTACAAATTCAATATGTAATATACCTATATCTATATAAATACATTTATTAAAGTTTTCGAAAACAAAATTGTTTTAGACAATCAACTTTAAGTTATATGTATAACATAAGTAATATAATTTTTTTTTTTTTTTTGTCATTTTCATAATTTTATTTCGTTCCATTTTATGTATATGCACTTAAACATTTTACCATCAAAAACAAAATTTAATATTATTTGAATTTCATATTTCAAGAATTTTTTTTAATTTTAGCTTTATGAAAATTCTTTATATTATTATAGTTTGGATTGAATACTAATTTAAAACATTCAAATAAATGTATAATAATTTCTGAATGAAAAAAAAAGTGTAACTTCATATTGCATCTTTAATACCAATGTTTTACTTTATTTTCTAAGTAGGTAGTTTAAGCAATAATTACAAATAGAAAATGATGATCTAATAACCAATATTTATAAAGGAAAAATTGCATCAAAAATCATTAAAAATAAGTGTATGATAATAAAATTTGAAAATATCACGTATTAAAAAAAAAATTAGGTTAGTTACTTAATAAAATTAAAATATAACTAAGACTTTTTATAATAAAAAAAATAAATAAATTCTTTAAAAAGAGGTTTTTTGATTTTATGTTTTTTAGAGTTAGAAATAACAATTTTAAAAATATCGTATTACTATGGAAATAATATACACGTTTTTTAAGTATGTCCAATTATTGTTTCAATTTTTTAGTTATTATTATTTTAATTATTGGCAATGCATACATTCATACAATATGTGGTCATGAATTCTACTTAATTATAGATGATAATAAATATAAATATCTAAGGACCATCCTCATAAATAGGTGTTGAGTATATAATTTACAAAAATTCATTAAATATAAATAAAATATTACAGAAAATATTAATAGTTTACCTACATTCATAAAAGATGATTCTTATTTGTAAAAAAAATTGTATTTTTATAACTTAATATTGCAATGTATTCATTTATTTAATGCTAAAATTTTATATAATCTTTGTATATAATCCATTTAGTATAGCAAATATTTTTCAAAAAGTTTATAAGTAAAATTATTAATTTATTTTTAAAATATACATAATTTACAGAGTTCTAACTTTTCAATTTTAAAATACAATTATAATGGTATATACAATAAATGTTTATGTTTTAAATTCATAAGTCTCCATTTTATGAATATTTAATACAGATATATTATTTTCTAAAAAAAAACACACTTATGAATTATGCAATTTCAAATTTTTATACGTCATAAAAAACTAAAAATGTATTTATTCGGTTTAAAAAAAGTATTACAATTAGCAGAAAGTAAACAAATATTGTTACCAAATACATTTTAATTTAAAATCTTAAAAATTTTAATATTTTTATGCAAAAATCACATACCTGAATATTTTTTTAAAAATTTAGATTTATTTAAAATATTTTAATATTTACACAAGTATTCAGTGTATACTTTATATTATACAAAAAAGTCATAGAAATTAAAATTAATTTATTAATTTATTAAGTTTGTAATAAAAAAAAGCCATTTATTATCTTAAAACACTAATTTACAAATAAGGGTTATCTTTAATTTCAAAATATAAAGCTTGATAATTTAAATATTTTCAATTATTTCGCAAAAAAAAAAAATTGAGTATAAAATAAATAAATAAGAATTTCTTACCTCCTGAATTTTTGTGATTTATAAACCAAGCATTATTTTGATTGAGCAAGAATACCGACAAAGTCAGTGGGATTAGGACGTTCATGACGCAACGTTTGAACACGAATGACTTAATCTTCTCACCTAAGGGTCTGTGAAACACTAAACTGAACAAGTAAACACAGCCCATTCTTATACCTCCCACTTCTACTTTATTCTTTAATACGTTGCACTTTCATTTTCATTTGTAAGTCTGCAGTTATAATAAAAGTCTTTTAACAACCATTAAGTGCAAATATATTCACGCAATTTTATTTGTTGGTTTATGTACACAATTTATTTAACAATTAAAATAATTATTACAATATTTTGTAAATAATAAACCTATATAGATATTTGGTATTTAAAATTTTAGTTTGTAAAATAATGATTTTAAATTTTAAAATTATTTACTAAAATATTTTTGTAACCCATATAGGTATTTAATACAAAGTGTTGATATTTGTATAGTCGTTTCAATTTGCATTATTTAACCAAAAATACACAAGTAAAATTTTGTTGTACAATACTATACTTATAAGGTTATAACTAAAAGATATAATTGTAAGTATATTACAATAATTAGTCACGGATGTTTACAAATATTAATACATTATTATATTTTTTTATTTTTATTTTTAGTAGAACTTGGTATTGCCAAAATTGGTAAAAGTTATATTAAAATGTATTAACCTTGTTTGCCTAATATTTCTTTATTTATTTTGTATTTTATACTTTTTTTAAAATATATATTCAAAATACATAATGTATTTGGCAATATCGAAAAGATTAATTCGATGAGTTTTTATACATTTTCAAAGGTTGATAAATTAATACTTTGTTTTTCAATGTTTTTCACTGTTTTTTATTTATTTATTTTTTTTTTATCAGCAATTATTTAAATTAACACCTCCAAATAGCAGCTAAATGGTTTTATCCTTGATAATTTGACTTTTTTTCCTAACTTATTTAATTTAATAGTAATGGCTATTTTCAATTTTGTATTTAACAACAAATATTATACATTTTAAATATTGATGAGATTAGATTGTTGTGCTATCAATCTGGTCACAATAATGGTGGGGGCTCAGTTCCAAAATCATGTATTATAGTTGACAAATTATTAGTATCTACCACTGATTCAATTCTTCCCTTACAGTAAAAACAAACACGTGAATAAAGTACGTGATGATTTATACACAACCTGAAATAAATAAATATGATTTGTATCAATATTTTAAAATTAAAATACATGATAAAATAATGATTATTCTAGTTTTTATTTACATATTTTCTATCAATAATAAAAAAATACTCAGTTGTGAGTACCTATATTTTAGGAGAAAAAAGTAACGTAAATACATATTATTATATAACATTTTTATGTATAGCGTAATTCACCAAGTATGCTCACTCATATTTTTCTTTCAATAACTTATTTACTCAAATATTTTTGGAGTTATAAATATATAATTAAAGACTATATTTTAAAATTTTTGTACTAATTAAGGAATATTTTGTAGTGATACAAACTTATATTTTTCAAATGATAATATCGATTTTTTATAGTAAATTATTCGATGAATATTTTGACATTTTTTATGTACTTAATTCAAAGTTTAAATAATGTTAGATTTTTAATTATTAAAATATTTAAAATAAGGATAATAATCCTTAAAAATTATCCTACAAAAATATAAAATAAATTTTATAAAAGGTAAACAATTTAATACCGTTCTGTTGTGTATCAAGTGTTGAGTAGATCATTGTTGTTATAGGTGTGTTAAATTTGAATTTATTGATGATCATTGTAAATGAAAAATAGCTCTAAACGGAAATAATTTGTCAGCTTACTCGTACATCAATCAATATAATATATCAGAATATTTTTTATTGATATAGTTATAAAAGTCATTATGTCATTGAGTCATATGATGTGTTTAGTATCGCAATAGGTTAATTTAATTTTTTCCGAAAATTATATTTATTAAATTATTAGTTTTTAATTATTGTAATTATTAAATTAAGGATAAGTAATACTTTACTGTAAATATTGTGATACTGTATAAGAATATATAGGCAATAAATTAAAATTAATCTATACTTATTTTGAAAATTACATTACATATAGTAAAATTCATACAAAAAATATGCATAAAAGCTTTAAGTTTCCGTAAATAATATTTTTGAATTACTATAAAAAAATTTAACATCGTTATTTTTTGTTAAATTTATAATTTCGTCCAAATTTAAACTACAAATATGTATTAAACATAATTGTGTTTGTTTATTTTCTTACTTTCTTAGATTTTTTAATTACAGTATGAATTATTTATGAGTTTATTATTTTATTTATTTATGAGTTACATTTTATTAAATTTTCATACCTTAGCTATAAACATTAAAGATTTAATTCATTTTTGCTAAAAAATATTTATGGTTTGTCAATTTTTGTTATTTTGGTCAATTTTTTGAAAGTTTGAACTTACAATACTTTAAAAAAAAATTTTGTCTATGTATTTTTATAATTTTTAAACAAATATATGAAAAAGTTATGTGGAAACTTGTACTAAACTTTCAAAAATGTTGATAAAATATAAAAATAAGAATTTCAATTGTCTTTAAATAGCTAAAATAATGTCAAAATATTTTAAAATATACACCATACAAGTATAGAAAATGATAATATAAACATTTGATAGTAATAATAATTTTAATAATAATTAAATCAAAAAACAAAGATATTCCTGTTTTTCTTTAATTTTGTTTTTAGTTTTCTCAACTTTCAGAAAAAGTACATGAAAATTTGTAGTTTTGACACCAAAATATCAACTATTTCTAATTTTCTATTAGAAACCACAATTAAAATTAAAAATCTAAGTATTTTTACTGTCCAAAAAAATGATGACAGACAAAAAAATTAAATATCGTTGTAAAATCAATACATTTATAGCTCCGCTCAGAATCTGAAATATAATAATATTGGATCTAATATTTTTAATTATTTTTGAAAATTAAAAGTATTATAAATTAATAATAATTATTAAAATTTTGAAATTGCCATAAATCTTATGTTTTTTAAATCCATTATCATATTATCGACTAATTTTTACGAGTAGTTTTTGATTTTGATGAAGCATGGTTTTCAGAAAAAAAATCTACCAATTTTATTGTAATAATTTACAATAAAAACGGAAGTTTTTATTTAAAAAACTGAAATTTCATTTCTCAACGGGATACTCCATAAATAGTACAAGAATCTTAAGAATTTAAAAATATGATCTTTATCTATGTATATTAAAAAATTCCAAAAATCATATTTTAAATAACTGTATCATTTTAGAAAAAAAGGATTAGCATGTTTAATGAATCACCTTCGATATTTATTATAAGTATAATAATAGATAGTTTAAATTTAAATAAATAATAAATAAAAACGTATACTTAACTAATTAGTAAGATATTCATCACACATGTCTTTAAAAAATAAAATTCTTATAAAAACGTATAAATTAAAAATATAAGTACATTATTATGATATGAATAGATTCATAATAATAAAATTTAGAATACAAAAGAATTGCATTTTCATATTGTACACAAAATTATGTATAATGTACCTTTCAAAACGGGGTATTATCATTAAGTTAATTTATCGCAATTATTTGACTAGTGGTACTGCAAGTAACTAGCGTTATTATATAATTTTATTCAAGAAACTTTGATTCCCAAAACGCCTTCTCTCTCTACAGAGAAGATAAATACTACATTAAATATACAAATCCCCAGTGTTTCATTGTATCCCACAGAGACATATTATGCGCCTTTTAGTTTGTAAAAATGTAAAATTTTTAAAGCATATTATGAATTTTCGCTAACTAATTTTGCATCGTGGCGTTAATTTATATAAATAAGCATTTAAGCAGATGACTTTTTATGCATTTAATAAATCTTGCCCACACATTTTTCACTTTGATACACTATACTTTATAATTGTTATAACTTAACTAATGAGATTGAATACTTATTTTGAAACTTTTTAAAATTATAATAACTATAAGTTGATTTTATAAATATGAGCTTACTTGCAGCATTGGTGTTTACACGGTATCAAAGTTACATTGTTTTTATTTGAATAACAAATTATACATAAATCTTCCTCGTTTATGCTAGAAGCCATAGATTTGTGACGTTTCGTGTACCAATCCAAATGTTGATACATATCACCAACTTTTTTAAATTCTTCCTTATTAATATAAGTTTTATCTAGTAAAGATGAAATATGTTAAAAATTATATTAAATATGCATTGTAGCTATAAAACATAATTAACGAATATTTAACTATAAATATAAATTAAATTGAATTAATTGATTATATAGAGTATCCTGCAAAGGTTTACTGTTATAAAGTGGTGAGTGATGGAAGTAATGTATTATATTACTCCATTAGTTTATACTTTTAAATGTTATAATGAAATATTGTATAGGTATCAACTATAAAGAAAATTATTTAAATATATAGTATAAACAAAGACAGATTTTCCGGATAAGTTTTATTTTTAATTAGTTAACGAAACAATATTGATGTAAAAATTATAGAATTTTTCAAATATTTAAAACTCTTTAAAATGTATTTTTTATTTTAATTCATGTCTGGTTCTAGAAATATTAATTGAGGTATTCTTTTTCAGCCTTTATAGTTTTTAATACAGTCGGTATAATATGATCTAGTCTAAATCCTCAAAAGTATAAGTCCAAATTCTCCAAATATTAATATCACACATTTAAATTTTAATTAAACGTAATATGAATATAGGATTGAAGATAAATTAATAAGCTAAATCGATGTATTTTATTTAGAAGTTATAGTAATTAATTATTAATACGATGATACTTAAATATGATTAAAAGAACATTAGAAAAAATATATAATATTATATCATAACTCTAATATTAAATATTATCAAAAAAAAATTTTAAATTTTAAATATAATTTACAAAAATTCAAGGAAAATGGTTCATCATTTTCATTTTCTGATAATATAATAAAATCCAATGATGACAAATTAAAATTTGGATCTGAAATTAAAGCATCTGTAATTTCTGGAATATTAGAGATCTTGCTTGGTCTTTCTTCTTCTGAAACTAACAAAGTTATACCAGTTATTTATATATTTAAGAAGTATTTAAATTATGATTTTTTTTAATTTTTAAATCAATTGAGCAATTAAAAAATTGATGTTTTTATTTTAAAATTAAAATTTTTATATTTTTACCAATTATACACTTATTTTATCTATCTTCATACTTCACTCTCAATCATAAGACACTATACAAAATATATTAAATAAACAATTAAAATCTAAATATGTATCCACAAACTATACCTAAGTCAGTTATCAATATAGAATAAATTACTGTAAATAATTTTTAAATGTATTATGTTACAATCTACAACATACAATTATAGATATTTTAAAACAATAATTAAAAATGTTAAATTTAAAGAAAGATTTTTATATTTTTATAAATCGTTTTAATGTAAAATATATACATTTTATTTACTTTTTATATTTTTGTTTAAAAATGTATTGTAAACGTTTGTCATATGTAATAATATATCAGATTTGTTCAATTACCCTTTTTATTTATTTCACTTTCTAACATAGACAATAAAACACCAGTTGTTGCTACAAGAATTGTGAACTTATGTACACATTCCATGTATGGTAAAGATGATGCCAAAACTCGACTAAACGTAGAAGATGAGGCATTTATTCGATTAAGAATTTGACATATTAACTGAATAACACAAAACAAATGTATTATATTAAAAAAAAAAAAAATTCTAGTATTCTTTGCAACCTGAAAAACTCTGCCAAGTGATCCTTCTTGGTCAATTATAATATTACGATCAAAATGAATCATCATTTCAATAACACGTAATAAAGTTACAGTGTAAATAAAACTTTTACCACACATTTTTAGTTTATTCACTTCTTCTGAAGAAATAAAAGTATCGTTTTCGTCTATATCTTTTATCTATAACATTGTAAAATTGAAAACAATAAACTTATGTTTAAAATGAAACTAACAAATTTAATACATGAATATCAATATAATCGTACATACTTCTTGGAACAAACTTATAAACTCAGAAAAAGCCCAGTTTAAATAATTTAATGAGTTATTGATAAAATTAGACGCTGTTTCTTTGTCATAAGCTATAATTGTCCGTACGTCATTTTGAAGCACAGTTGCAGGTGGTCGTACTACAAAAAAAAAAAAAAAATACAGTAATTATAACTATTAAAAGAAAGTTCTAAAACTATAACCAGAGCCCATGTTAGAAAACACAATTTCTTCAAGTGCTCCTTGCGTAGAGACATGTTTATTTTTTAAATGAGGGGGTCGAACATAACGGAATGCAAATCCAGAACCATACCAAATTAACATCAATATTAAATTAGTTTTTATCCATATTTTTCGTTCCATCGGTTTAAAAATCGATTTAATCGCACGAAATCGTCTAAAAAAATATAGTTTTTTCCATTATATTAATCATATTTTTATTTGCATAAAAATCATAAATAATAACCAGTTATAAAAAATAAAAAAAATCCTTAAAACATTTAACAGATTAATTTTTTTTTATTGTTAAATATTAAGTCTTACGATTTTTCTGCAACTTCTTGAAGAATAACAACTGATTTAGGGTGAGTTAAATATAAAGTTACTCCTTGGATTATTATTTCTTTTGTTTTCGGATGGATTATTCTTTGGTCATTAAAAACGTTTAGTATTATTTCAGCAATTAACGTGGCCAACCATTTTTTATCTAAAATTAAAACTTATATTTAATATATTAATGAATAATTATTCTAAAGTGTAATATTACCAACTATAATATCATCAAATTTCTGAGTTATGTTTGTATAATCAGGTAATATAACAGCTAACTCTAACAGATTATCTATGTAAAAGTCTGGAACAAATCTGAACAATTCATCTTCTATATCAGAGCAATATTTCAAAGTGTGAGAAATGATGGTGAGAATCCATTCTAAAATTTGTTCATTTGTGGCTACAAATATCAAACTCTTCAACCAAGCTATATGTCTCATAGATAAACATACTTTTTTTTCGATGTCCTGGAAATATATGCACATAATTTATTTTCAATGTATCAAATTTTAAATATAAAAAAAATACCTTAAGGGCAAGTTCTAAAACGTCTCTGCTTTCACTGGAAGTTTTTAATTCATAATCTACTATTGCATAATCTATAGATAGTTCAGCTAATCTTTCTTTGAAAGATACATACTAAGAATATTATATTTAAAAAAAAAACTGTAATATGTTAAATACTTGTTAAATGTCTTAAAATGATTGTGTTATATTTTCTTACTTCAATTAATTGTCTATGACAAGCTATGCGGTATAAACAAATTATACTATTTAGCAGCACAGAAAATACATGTATTTTGTCAGTAGGTAAATGATCAAATGACAATATTCTATTCATAACAGCATCGGCGATATGAGTGTTTGCATTTCTGTCTTCTGTATTCCTAATTATTCTTGTTAAAACAGTAATCAAACCAGCCGCCGAATTTATCTCTATCATTTCATCCTCTATGTCAGCTTGAACAAAATCATATAACACTAGGTACTATAACCATAGGTAGATAAGTAAATCATAAAATATTGAATCAATATCCCTTTGAATATTTTAACGTTGCTCTTAATTAATATTTCACGCAAAGTTGACGTTTAATTGCGAGATAATATAACAATACAATATAATTGAATAATATTGAACATGAAACTGGCATAATAATATGAAATTATTATTATTTTACATGTGCATAAAACATTCAAATATTATTGTTTGATTCTGATAATTTATAAATGTATAATAATACTAATTAACACTATAGTAAAATGTAGTGCAACAAATTAAAACTACTAAATTGTATAAACTGTATAAAGGTAATATTATGCGTGTTGCTTAAAATTGGAAAATTTTGCAGTCACTTTATTTTCTTAAATATTATTTTAACAGTTTAACACTATTGTTTTATTTTCCTAGAATAATGTTTAGTGTAGTTCTACATGATTTGCGTACACCCTTTTTTTTACCTCCTTTGAATACCCAATATAAAATGAAAATCAAATTACTCAGTTTTCATACCATTTTATTGTACGGTGTACAAGTATCCGTTTCAAACCTCGCACATTAGGTATATCATGTACATTTTCGAACTACACAAACAGATAAACTAAACCATTGTGTGACCCAGTTTACAATAAAAAAGGTAAAATGCATATTTTTTTTACCGATTGTAAATTTTTATAAAAGTATTAAAATTAGTTTCAACTTTTCCAACTTTTTATCAGAAAAAATAACTGAGAATATTAACCAATTATGTTTTATGATTTTTTAAGTTTTTGATGTAAAAACATCAACAACAACAAAAAATATACATTTCTATAAAAACAATACTTTTTATATAAAATATTAAAATTTGAAATAAAAATATAACGCAAGTAAAACATAGTAATTTAATAAAATTAGCACTTTCAATTTTAAAATACACTAATGGCATATAGACTTTATTTCCTTATTATTTTTTTTTTCTATAGAAAGTATGTAATTTACTAAAATAATAATCTATTAAATTTTAAGCAAAATACGTCTAAAAATATAAAGGTAATGACAATAATATAATTTCTTATGAAGTATACTATGAATTTTATTTGTTAAAAAAATTCTTCGGGGTAAAGAAATCATAAAAAAATTTTCTTTCCTGTAAAATATATGATAAAAACTAAAAAAAAAGCTTTTAACGACTATAATTTACAGCTTGATTCAAAATTTTCAACAATGATGCATTTTAAATTTTAAATTACTGATATTATATAAGCTCAACTCTGACACTTGGAATTAATTGTTTATTAAATACAATAATTCATAATACAATAAAGTCATAAGTCATCAAATTTTTTTTCAAATGTATAATAAAAAATGAACGGGACTCTTTACGCCCAAGAATATTATAGCAATTTTTGACCACATTTTTATAATACGCACTGTAAGAAATGCTTTATTATTTATTGTGTAAATTATTTCTCTAGTAGTGACTATTTTTTCCATATCAATAAGTAAATGCCCTTAATTTTAATAGGATTAGGAGGAAAGACACTTTAACGAGCTTTATATGTTTTTTCTCAGTCTATTAATATCAGATACAGTAAATTTGGTTTACGCTGCGTGGTAATTGTGAGAAATGTCTTATATATTTACTTTTTTCGGTTATATTTACATATATTCTAAAGCTTTATGTTTATATCCTACATTTATAATTTTGGCGATCAATATTTGTTAGATCATAAGAGTCGTGATTATATTCTCCAGTTATTGAAACAAAAAATCATTCTTGTTTGAGTATATTAGTGCACTACAAGTTTTCGTAACATATCTCCAACGGGTAGAGCCGTATTTTTTACTTGTCGATTCAAAGTTATTATTGTTTTATAAATGTCATTATGGCGATATTATCTTTATAAGATATTGAACGGATCATTGTAGACATATATTTATAATGGACATAGATAATTTAAAGTAATTGTTTACCAAAGTGCAGTGTATAATAAAAATGTGATCAAAAAATGCTATACTTTTTTTGGGTGAAAAGGGAAAATAGTTTTAAAATATTTGAGAGATAAGCGAAAGGTCATTTTTGGACGAATAGTGTCTTGCTCTAAAAAATATTGAGCTTACTCACATCATCTTTCTATTTAACGTACAAATACAAAACAGTTGACTACTATTCATTGCACACGATTTTTCTTATACGTATTTGATTAACACTTTAAAATTCAAACATTCATATAATTAATATAAAGAAAATATTAAATATTTGTACTTAAATATAATCGAATCAAAGCCAATAAATATAAAAGACAGAATACCTATTAATACCAAAAATATATCACTGCCATCATAAGTTGTCTTACTATAATTAAATACATCACTTGTAAAAATATTACTATCGTTATTATCATCATTTCGGCTGTCAAACGGAGGTCCCAGTTTCTGTTTGATAAGTTCGTTATATCTATTTTTCAAATATGAAAATGTGCCTCCTATTCGTTCGATTCCAAAAAAGTTGTAGTTTTCCAAATAAAAAATATTTGGGTGTATTCTTAAGTTATTAAAGTCTACTAGTTCTTCACTCAATAGTTCACGTAATAAAAATGATAAACGAAAAAATGTACTCAACAATACCGGACCCGGCAGTTTTAAAATAGGATCATTCTAGAAAATACAAGAAAATTTTTAATAATACTATTTAAAACATTTAAATTACAATGTTTGCAATCATACGTTATAAAGTACGTATAAAACTAACTTTAAACTCTGTAGAGCAATAATTCTAAAATAGGATTTCAATCATAATTATATTTTAGGCACACTAAATATTGTATGTAATTTGTATTCCAGTAAAAATAAAAACCTTTTTCGTAAATATTGTAAAACTAATATTATTGTTAGTTATAATTAGCTAAATCAATAACATTTTGTTTGAACTTTTAAATATTGAAAATATTAAAATATTGATAAATCTAGTAAAATTTAATAAAATTTAAAAAAATAATAACATAAATATTAATATTTACCCTCCAAGAAATCATGTTTTCTTGAATAAAACTTTGAAATCGTCTACAAAATAAGACTCTTGAGCTCACTATTGTGTCAGTTTGATCATTGTCGTTTAATAAGGTTTTAAGAAATATTATTTGAAGTTTTTCTAATTCTGTTTGATAAATAATAATTCAATTTAATGAATTATATTTAATATGGCTTAAAAATGAGAGCAATAAATTACGGTTCAATAATTTTTTGATTTTTTCACTCGCTTCATTGTAAGCTGATTTAGATTTCTTATAATCCTTAGGAAAGTTTTTTATTAGCTTATTTCCCATATCTTCCGCCAAATCTTCATTTTCTATACTCCAATATACTCGTGGTATCATTTTTTCAAGCATTTCGTCAGATGGAGAAATAATGTGTAAGAAGTGAGCGAATCTATAAAATGAATTATTTTTTTAATGCATATTATATATACCTAATTACTATTACAAAATGTGAGAATAATATTTTATGCTAAACTATTATAATATTTTTTTTACTAAAATGGACATTGACCTATAATGGTAATATTAGTCTTCAATAATATGTCCAAGTTTTTCAAATTCAAACAATATTGAAATGTATAGATAGGTATATATTTTATTAAAATAACTTTAAATAAACAGAGATCTTAATTTTATATTTATTAAAGTATAAACTATAAATAGATAAAATACAATATAATGGTTATATATTGTATTATCAAACGCCACTGAATCGAACATCAGAAATTAAAATAATATACATAATAATTAGAATTTAATTTAACTAAAAAATTTGTTAATTTAATAATTTAACATGTTATACTTAATTTATCTACCTATCTGAAATTAAAATAGTTCACTTTATTCAGAACAAAGAACTATTTGATAAATAAAAACAGATTATAAGTTAAAAATAGACGTTGGTACTCTAATCTTAGAAAGAAGTACATATTTTTATCATTATTCATGACAGTAAATAGTTATCTATATTTATTACACAGAACAATAATAACCAATGAACTATCAAGACATTATTTTGTGCTCAACGCTGAAGCAGTAGCATACTAAAAAAAATAGGTATAATATATTTTAAAACACGAAGTTTAACTTCTTATCATTTATTTTAGTTTTGAATTCGTTTCATTATAATTTTTTGTTATTAAATTATAAATTGTTAAGTATAACTAAACTCTTAGATGATAAAAAAATTATAATAATTAAAATATGTTATATTGTAAATATAATATTTGTACCTATTAATAAAGTAATACCTACTTGCACATTTTAGTGTATCTATGTTATAAATTATAATTGAATATTTTATGAATAAAAAAACGAAAACTAAATTCGTTTATTCGTTCTAAACTATATATTCGAATTAATTATTATCATTAATTTTACAAATAACTTCTATTCGCGCAGCCATTTTCCCATGTTATCCAATTATCTCTAAGCCTTTTTATGAGGTCTAAAAATTAATATACAGAAGTTTAAAATCAAATTTCAAAATGTCAGGAAATATTTGGAGATAATAGAGCATTATGATTGAGGGAGATAGTAGGGCTGCATAAATATAGTTGGGCACATAATTTAAAAAAATCTTCTTATAGCAAAAGAATAGTTTTTTAATCTTAATAATTTATTTTCAAATTTTTGTAAGATATAATAATAATTTTTATTTATCGGAATTACATTAAAATTAAAAATTTAATATCGTATTGACAATACAAGCATTACATTAATATTGGGAAAGATTTAATGATAATTGTTCAACATGGAAGGGAGGATTTAATACGCGTAGTATTTACACTATATTCAATCTAATTTAGGTAAATTGTATGTATAATAATATGCATAAATTGTTGAATCTTAATCAAGATTGTTAACAGCAATGTTTAGGCCTAATTTAACTAATGTAATTCTAGATAAACAATTTTATGAATATATAATATATATGACTTTTATATTTCATGTATTTTTAAGCTGTAATATCTTATTAAGTTTACAAAAAAAGTCACAATTAATAATATTATTTTACTAAATTTTTTTTATTTATCTATATAATATATTTTCTTGGCACTAAACCAATTTACGTAGCATAAACTATACATATTTTATTATTACGGTATTACGTAATAATTTACAACATTATTATTTTGTGTTAATTATTTATTTATTTCAATAAAAAAACTGAGCCTTGTAGTACTGAGAATACTATAGTTTACTTTCGTTTTATATACAAATACAACCAATAATAACTAGAATAAAACTACGAATTACTACTATAATTGTTAAATATAAATACATGCAATTTATTCACAGTAATTATAACTATAAATAGAAACCAGATTTCAGATTTTAATCACATTCATCGTTTATCTAGAATTTTTTTATATTTTCTTCAACTCAAAGCAATTAAAATAAGAATACTAATAATGCATCAAATTTTGATTAGATTGTCTTTAATATTGTACTATTAAAATTTGAGTTCTTAAGATTAAACCGTGTTATTTTAATTTATTTTTGTATTTTTGTTATAATTATATTTCTCTTTTTGCTAACGTTTTATTTGATTTTAAACGGAATTTTAGATATATTAAATGGTAATAATATGTAAAAAAAATGTATTAACGTTTTCCTATGTTAGAAGTTTAATATTTTATGTTGATAAAATCTAAAACCAGGCTAAAAACAAATTAAATTGCTGCTAAAATATTTTATCTAACACATTTGTCTATAATTAATAAATCAAGCATTATCAACGATGATACGATGCACTTATATAATCTATAGTATAATAATATTGCATACATTACACATTAATTTTAAATTAAACTATTTTCCTTGGTTCTTCTATAATTAACAAATCTCAAGCATAACATTATGTAATGTATCATTCTACTTAAGATATTAGAAAGAATTTTATAAAATAACTAAACATGGTATCTAATGTAATTTTACGTTTAGTCATATAACTTTAAAAAGCATGAAAAGTATAATATTATCCTATTTAAAATAATATTACGTACTTAATCTTGTCGAAAAAAATATTTACAATATTCTCTTTTCTAGTATTGGTTTCTTGACAAATTGCAGTTAAAAGTTTGAGTACCGCTGACTGATAAGATATGTCAAATTGATTTCTCCACGTACATTTAAATTCACAAAGTAAACAAAATATTAAATAATTCATGATGGAAACCATTCTATATTTCTAGACAATTGGAAAACTTATGATAACTGTACATTTTAATTAGTTGAACTTATAAGGTATTAACTATACAACAAAATAAATTAATAAACACGTCATATTATTCTTTAATTAATGTTATACAAGCATTATTAAATATAAAATAATAAAAAAATATAGACTAAAGAGAAAAAAAATTTTCTTGAGAACCGTAAATACTGTGTTATTTAAAATGTGTTCAAAGTAGTAAAAAATCCAAAATAATAAATAAACGATAGTATATCCTATACCAACAACTTAAGATTAAATTATTTAGAGACTATTCTTACAAAATCTTGCACAAGTATGTATATTTCAAAAAAAAATTTGAAAGCAGTAAAACTGTAAGTATAAATAAATACAAATAACATACTAAGAATACATTTTTTTTGTACTATCATTATAATTTGTATAAATAGGTATCTATTTGTGAATACAGATTTTAATTTAAAACAAAACGTAATTTCCTTAAGTTTAAATTTAACCTTAAATCGAGTGAAATTATTAATTGTGATTTACAACAATTTAACTACCAGAAATCATCCTAAAATCTAAAGTTATAGTATTTTTACTGCTCTAAAAGGTTATAATAGACAAAAAACAAAAACAAAACATAGAAACCAATGCCATTCTCGGATTTTAACTGTACTTGTATTATTTATAGTAAGTATATTGATAATCAACAAATTATTAGCTGCATAATATTTAATATTATGACATGTAAAATAAATTTATTAATCCTATGATATTTATTATGTTCCTTATACATTATTTATCACGTTAAAATATAACTTACAGGTATACTTTCCCACATCAATTCAAGAAGAACAATAAGCTTTTGAGGACTTTTTTTGTTTAAATTTTTTAAAAATAATATAAAACAGCTATCTACAACAAATTGATTTTTTAATAAGTGCTCAAATCGATGAAATAATATATTTTTTATAATATTATTGATTCTTATTTTATCGTAGTGTTTCAAATTATTTTTCGTCTGAAATATAGTCAATAAAGTTTTAAAAACAAATTTGATTATAGAAATATAAAACTCACGTTAGTTTTATTTAAACTGATTTGGCTTTCGATTAAAGAATTAATATTTTTCGCAAGACGTCCAAAATAATTTATTAAAGCTATCGGGCTAGTAATTATAGGTTTTGAACTCAATACTGGAAATTTAAATGGTCTTTCACCCAAATTAACAACCACATTTTCTTCATTGGAAAGAGTTAATGCAGGAAAATACGTCAAGTCATCTTTGTTTAATAACTCTTCAAATATTACACCAAGTGATTGACCATTACTAAAAAAATATAAATATTTTTTATATACTACTTTTCTACAAGTATATAGTTAATACAAATTTAAAAGGCATATTTGTGGCTTAATTTTTTTTTTTTTTTGAATTCGGTGTACAAATGTTTATATATGATTTATATTAAACTTGTATCTATACAATTTCTAAGTAAAAAATGTATCATGAATACATCTATATATGTATATCTAATTAAGTAAAATATAGTAAATTCAAAATTATCAGAACTAATGTTATGTTATTAACTTCAATATTAAAATAGTGCACTGAATTATTATCAAACTTAAAGGCAATAAAATATTATCTGTGTTTGAACATTGATATTTTTATGCATTTCACTTATTAAGCTATTTACAAGTATTAAAAAAATTAAAATTGAAAAAAAACAAATAAATTTCTAAAAATTATAACATTGTTAAATACCAAGGAATTAGTATAATTATCAAAAAAACAATTTAACCGATATAAGTACGAGTATATACTTGGATTATTTTCTCATTTAAGATGTGCAGTCCTATTTCAATACATTCTAATTTTTTAGCGTAATTTGTTCAACTAGTTATTTTTTATAATTATTTAGATTTACTTAAAGAAGTATAGATATACTTCAAAATTTAAAAATCATGGTTTGAATAAATGCATCATTATTAAAAGTTGTTTAAACTTGTATGGCCGTATATAAAGATAAACATTATTAACATTGTTTTAAATCTTAAATTATTATTCGTAGTTTATGTAAAAAAAATGTATACAAACTAAATAACACCAAAGGAGTATCAATTTTTTGATTTTTAACGTCTTTCTAAAGTACAATTCTTATACAAACTTGATAAAAAAAAAAAATTACTTTATCATGAAAAAAATAAACTATAGTGTTTATTATCTACAACTTTTTCCTCTTTAAAATTTAAATGATCCTGTGTATTTCTTTATTATTTTAACACCTATTTAATTTACCTATAATATTGTACTTATTCAGTAAAATGATTATTATAATACTTGAAAAACTCTATAGAATTTTTTTTCAAATCAATAGTGCAACCAATTATATTTCCTACTCTCCATTTTCGACCGTATGTGCGCGCATTAGACGTATTCCACTTTTCTAAACGATAACCATCAAAACCATAAGAATTTTCTGTTTCTCCTAAAAATAATAAACATAGATAAATAAATTATATTATTTTATATTATGATAAATTGTTATCAATAATCCAATATCTATTATAACTTTTTAATAGATTAATATATTATATTTCATGAAAAAATATCAAATACCTACTCCCTGATCATCAGTAAACGTACACTTTTGAGTAGCCCATCCTATACGCATTGGTCCATTAGAATTTAGTTGTACTTCGTATTGATAGATGACATCATTTTTTATACTGTGGATTGACTTCACAGTTGCCAAATTACTCCTTGAATACATTGTACTAAATTCCGTGACCATCATGTCTCCATTTAAATGACTCGAATTAAAAGATTCAACATTTTCAAAATATGTCTTTTCTACATTTAAAAGTTCATCAAATTCTGATTTATCAGTTAATATTTCCATATCATCTTTCAATTTCTCTATGCTTTAATAATAATAAATATTCTCCTTTAAAGTTTAGATAAGACACATCACATTAAAAAATAAATATTTTAACACTTTACTCTGAATAGACTTTTTCATTCTTCACTAATGATTTTAATTTGTTTTTACCAGCTTTTCCAAATATTTTAGTTACTTCTTCAACTACAGTGTTTACTAGACAAATTAATTTTAAAAACAATATATTTAAATTAAACAAATTAAATGTCAACTATCATCATATATTTCAACTTAAACTACAACAAAGTTATAAGATATTTGAAAATAAATATTGTTTCAATAGGTACGAAATTATAGGATACTTAAACGAATCAAACAATGATTTTTACCATCAATATGGTCAATATTTGAGTTCTCCATTAGTATTTTATTTTGTTATTAATTTATTTTAAACAACTATTATGAAATTAATGATTCATTGAATTAATACCACTACGTATTCCATGACAATTCAAACGATATATTTATTTTTTTCAATAATTAATTAGCCAGAAAAAATATTCAAGTGTGTTTTTTTATTGATATTAAGTCTGTAACAATGATAAAATCAATCTACATCATGCCTATTACATAAAAACTATAATTATAGTTATTAGTTTACACTACACAAATACAACAATGTATATTGCTCATAATATTTACATGTTAAGACTGAACATTTTTTAGAATTTTATACTATACACATTGTTACTGATTCTGAAAAAAATTTAAACATTTATAGATACTAAATTAATATAAAAGGTGACTGAAAATTGTACAAAGGATTACGGGATTAAACATAAGTGTTCGATATATATTTGCCGTCTATTATACAACAACAAGTGACCCTCGGATTCTTATTTTCTTAAATTAAAACGTACAATAGTGCACTTATGATATTATAATGTACTTACGTTTTTATTTCGTGGAAAAATTTCATTTTGTATTTTATGAAAACTAGTAAATGTGATTTGTACACAATACTACAACATAGTGATGATTTATTGATATACTGATCAATTTAATATTACATTACATAATACGTTTAAAATATACCTACTAAATTATAAAAAAACGGTATGAGTTTATCTAGATTTGTTTCTTCTTCATCCGCCGTTGGCTTGTATTTATTATAAATGTTAGGGTTTTACAACATATACGGAGTAATCAATTTAACATAAAACACTCATTATTTCAAAAAACACTAACGTTTTCGAAAATATTTCATTATTCTATATAATTTTAAACATTTTTAGGAAAAAATTACAGTTTTACTATTTTTTTAAATTTTTTTTTACTTTTGTCAATGACAAAATACATTTTTAAATTATATACTTTGAAGCAAAATATTACTCAAAGTATTTCGATTATCAAAATTATATTTTGGACAAGTAGTTTATTTATCATAAGTTAGTATTTAAAGCATAGATGGCTGTAATAGACCAACATTTTTCGTAGATCCGATACCTCACCACTCCTCCGATCTAAATCCCATAAACTAATTGCCCAAAATTCTATTTTTATATAATGAAGTACTTTTAAAATTTTTTGTTTTGAATCAAAAAATAAAAACGCATATAGGCATAAACATTTTTAAAAATTTTAATAGGTATAAACAATTAATACATCTTATTTAGAAAAATATTGTTTTTAATGACTTAAAATTTAAATTATGAAAAAAAAACATTTTCAATAATATTAACAATTTTTTAAATAATGATTTTCTAATGTTAAATGTATCACCCTATGTATACCTATTACTCCGAATAATATAATACCTATCATATTTTTAGATGTAGAATGTAGAATGTTCTAGGCTATTCGTGAAAGAGTCGACGGCGAATAATACTGAACGGTAAAGCCATTATATAGATAAACAAAGGATTAAATTATACCTTATTATAAACATTGCTATCGATAAAATATTAATTATGTATTCTATACTATGATGTAATCATAATTCATAATAATATACTTATTATGTAGATAGTACTTATGTATCAATAACGATAAGCATGAGTCACAAATATACTTTTATTGCGGTGTTATGTCTTGCTAACACCAATGACATCCGATGAAAGTTCTAGAATATTAAGGTCTAAAATTATTTCCTCATTTTTTTTTTTTTTTTTTTTATTGTACATTTTAGAAAATATAAACAAAAAACTTAATATCAAGCTATATAAAAATACAGTAAATTCCGCCAAATATGGGCACCGGTTAATATGGACATCCGCTTATATGGGCAAAATGGTCTAGTCCCAATTCCAATATATACCAACAAGTTTAAAAAAAAATCACATAATATAGACACTCGGTTTGGTGTATATTGGCTATTTTTATTTTACCATAGTGTTAGAATATACACAAGAGGGTAACAAGGATAGTCCATCTGATAAGTTTGAAGCGTGTGCCACTTTTGTAAACCAAATCCACACTAAACAGCTTAGACAATAAGCAATTACAATTTTTGTATACCTACCACATCCAAAAAGTAATTTTATTTAGTATGTTATATTTAGTTTAATTAATGTAGTAATTTAACATTTTTTTTCAATTGTATGATTCACGTGCGCAAAATAAAAACTTTTTTTGATATCAAATTTTTTTTATTTTTTTTTTTTTTAAACTAATTTCGGTTTTTATAGGCAATCGCTTAATGTAGGCAAATAGGGTTGGTCCCAATGTGCCCATATTAAACGGAATCCACTATATATAAAATTTTAAATGTTTCCGCGTGAATCAAACATCTTTAGTATACGCAGATGCCTAACTTCAGTTAGTTGACTGTATACATAAATATTATAAATAGTTTGAGCAAAATGGTATTAAAAATTTGACAATTTTAATATAACTTAAACTCAATAATAAACACATGGACGAAATCAAAATATATGGTTAGTTGAATTTTAAATAAGCTTCTTATATTATTGTGAAATCAACAAAATAATATTATATATGCATACTTAATACTCATGATACAAAATTATTATAGTTTTTAAGGGAGAATATTAGTGTTTAATTCAGATTAATTATTTTGTCAATATTTAATAACTCTTAACTAATGAATAGGTATTATTATAATTAGTTAGATAAGTACAACTTGTTACAGCATTTTTTATATTTTACAAGTACCTAATTATCTTAAAATTTGTTTTATCAAATATGTGTAATCTGCTCAGGTTTTGTCAAGTTTTTCCTATACTATACCATTAAACTCAGCTCAACACTATATTTAATATGATTTCAGTTCTAAATGGCGTTATTAATTTAGAAAAAAAAAAAGGCTTAATTAACTCATAAAATCAATGTAAACTATAAACAAAAGTCGCATTTATGCAGTTGATATTTACGTCAAAAACAATATCACAATATCCAATGTTTATATATATTTGCTTACAAAAAATATGGTATAATCAAACTTAAAAACTATAAGCTAGTACAGCTATAATAATATATGTATCTATCTAAAATAATATTATTATTTTTTTTTTCATAGGTCATAGGTAACAACAATACAATTTATAGATATAAAATAATAACATATGCTATTCGTAATGATTCATAACTTACTATTTTGTATATAATTTATATTACATACTTATTAATAATTAGATCAAAACTAAACGAACTGTCAATAATTAATTAAATTAAAAATAATAATTTATATATTATTTAATATTAAATATTTATCATGGTATAAAATACCATTAATATACCATATCGTATAGTTAAAATAGTTTTAGCTTTACTGATAACGTTAACCCATAATATTTTTTATTATTTATTATTAAATAGGTGTATATCATATTAATTAGGTGAAGGACTAAGGTATTAGAAAACCAATGTTTTAATAAAAAAAATAAATATTGCTATGCCTGACATATTAGTAACTCAATCATAAGATTTTCTATGCTTAGATTAATTATTTAAAATTTCACTTAAAATATCTTACCGTGATTATACTAATTAGCTGGTAAAGGCGAATTTACCAGACACCCGACGTGTTATCAATTCTCAAAAGAAGGTTATACGTTCTACGTATATACGAGTAGATGTCACTATATTCTTTGTAGATGGTGGACTCTGAGGCAGATATAAAATACTATGGTTAATTAGTATAAGTTATAATCTCTTCTTAATACATACCATATATTCACAATTATTTATGAGTAAATAATAAATTCAAATATACTTATAATTTTTTTGACATTTAAAATTTTACATTTTTAAATCTAATCAACAATTTTAAAAACTACACCCTAAACTGCTGTTGAGTTTTATTTTTTATATCATCTCAAATAATAGGTCACCTACAGGAAGTTACAAATTATTTCAAAGATTTATGAAATTTTACTTGAAAAAATCAATATCTTGAAATAACATTAATATAAATTATGTATTAAAAAGAGGTGAGGAGTGCATATTGGATCTGGCTATATGTGTTTGATGTTTGTAATAGTAAAATCATATCACATTATTGTAGTGGTATTTATGAATAATCTGATTATTAGCTGTAACTCACAGTTATATTTATATTAAGTAGTAGTAATATATGTTACTCTCTATTTAAATCATTAGTTATAATTCATAAATACTTATACCATGCCTTTGGACATCAGAGTCGTACTGGCCCGGACCGCAAGTCCACGATCGGGGACTGAGTTTCCGGCTAGTTTGGGCTCCCAAACTTCATGTTCATATTTTAAAATTAAGTAAAGTTCATGATCATGGAAGGGATTCATTAGTTACTTTTTTAACTTTTATAAACAAACTAATTTTAGTTATTGGTTAAATAATACAAAATAAAGTAATAAATGATATAAAACAAACTTAAGACGCGTTGAGTAGTAAGTGTTATGGTAAATTCTGCTTTAAACCAACTTTCTATCCGTGTTAGATATATTTTAGATAAAGAAGTTTATGAGAAACTTTTTAAGTTGATAATAGGTTATGACCAACGGAAAAGATTTATATGATTTAATTTCAAGTGAATTTTATAAATTAACTTAAAATATTCCTAAAATTATAGATTTCTCATTCGATGGAGCAGCCAACTTGGAAGGCTCATACAATTATCTAAAAGAAAAATTAAAAGACAAGAATCCATTATTTCTATATACATGTATACATTACATAATGTACACGCATTATGTAAGGCATATATTTAACTTGAATATGATAGATTCATCTGAATTCTGTGTGAATGCAGAATTTCTATTTTGCCTTAGTACAACAATCATCTACATTTTTATTAGACTCTTGATTAAATGAATATTGAAAGAAATTTCGAAATTGATAAAAAAAAGTATAATTGATATTATTAAAAAGAATTTTAATGAACTTTCAAAATGTTATTTTAAAGTTCATTAGAACGGTCCAATAATATTAATTACACAGTAATTTGATTACTTTACATGTTAAATTTTATTTATAAACAATTTTATAGTATATGAGTTAATGGCATGTGGTTGTTGGTCACATATGTATTATTTAGTATGGCGTGTACAAGTATAAAGCATTAAACTTTTATTTAAAATTTTTATTATTATAATATGTGTGTTTATTTTTCATTTTATTTAATTGTTATTTTATTTAAATATAAACAATGGAGAAGTAGAGAGCAGAGCAAATAATTTTTAGTATAACCTAAGAGCCTTCAATCAGATCGCAGACTGGGAATTTTAACGCCAATCCGACCCTAAGACATACTGTACTTAAATCATAACAATACATTTACATCTTCTATGTTTATACTCTCGACGTGTAGAGTAATAAACCATAAAAGCCTTATCAAAATCAAACATGAAACTACTTAGTTATAGAATAAACTCAAAGTATACGTATATATTGGATTATATATGACTAAAATTATATGATAAGATTCCCGTTACTATAAAAAAATTGTTAAACATATTTTTGTACTTTTAAATTATCAATGAAGAGATGGTTATTAGCAAATGAAATAAATCCTTAGGTTAACTATACAATTACTAACGATTATATAATTATCTTTCTTGTTCTCTTAGTAAGAACTATTAGCACACTATTAATATTAAAATTATTATTTTTGTTATCATAACTATTACTGTTATGTATCTTTACTAATACTGTTCACTTATTTTTTTTTTTTTCGAAACTCTTGTCTTTTAAAACAAGAAAACATCCTTAATGATAGACGTTGCAGTATAACCTTAAAGTATTAATATTATGTAAATAATTTCAAAACTGCTGAATAAAAATTCATTATTTAATATATATATATATATACGATATAGGTCATATTAATGTATGTGTTTATTAGTTAAGTTCAAAAAAAATCTTATAAGTAAATTTAGGTAACGTAAATAGGTCTGTGATAAAAATAGCTTATCATTAGTCTAGATATTTTGAAAATGTAACTGTGTTTACAAATAATATAAATAAAATAACTAAATTTTTCAATTAAAAATAACATTTTAAAATTGCTGTAGATTAGAACAATTAATGTTTTAAACTATTTAACCAAATGAAATGCCCTATTGGCCCGGATCCCGTATTCTCTAAAATCCTGGCTTACGCCATTGGGCATTGATTGTTATTAAAACATAAACTTTTTTATAAATCTGTGTGATGTAATTGTGATACTAAATAAATCAAAAATCAAAAATATTTCTAAATTTGACTACATTTATTACATTTACAAATACACGAGATATATAAATAGGTATATATTTAACTTAAAATATAATTTTAAGACAAACATCAATACCTAGTTGCTATTTATATTCACTTATCTATAATTCATAAACATATGATTTAACATCTAATAAGTGAATAAAATCTAATAATTACTAAAGCTAATATATATATATATATATATATATTATATATATATATATTATATTCACGATAAAATGTGCAATTAGTATAATAATTAATTAATATTCAAGAATTTATGATTACATGTTTAAATTCTTGATTGCAATAATTTTCTATTGAATTTAAATTAAAAAAAAAAAATGTTTTCTAATCACGATATAGATAATAATACATTTTAAAAACCATCTACATGAATAACAGCATATTTTCCGATTTTTAACCAATCCGGATCATTTTTTGATATATCTTCTGCTAAGCCTTCTGGTAAGCCGCAAGTGATGTCCGATTTCAATGTTCTTAATGCTAGTAATTTAGAAGGTTTAAAACTTCCTACTGCCTGAGAAAAAGGTACAGTAGGCTCCCAAAATACATCACCAACTAATTTTCTGTAGTTAAGATCTCCTTTAAATATAATTAAAAATGACTGCGAAAGTTTAGAGTATAAATCATTATCTAATGACTTCATTTGACCAAAATTGAATGGCAAGGTCCAAAATTGTTCACTTTCAAATATCCATTGACCTATAACAATAATAACATAGAAATTTTTTTATTGCCATAAAGTTATTAAATCGCTAAATACAATAATATTATTCTATTGCCGAATTAGTCGAATTTAATAAACTGATCGTGGGCCATTAAATCATGTTTAAAAAAAACCATCAGCTTTATTTCGTCAAATGTTTAATGATTATTTATATGACCCGGCACAAATATTGTAATATATTATACAGCTGAATAAACATAATGTAATTATATTATTTAAATCAGAAAATTTTCCAGTATTACAGATTTCTAGATCTTATAAATCTATTTTTATATTTAATCCATGATAAAAATTTATCGTTTGCTTGTATTTAGCACAGGCATATAAAAACAAAATATTTGTTATTCGACTTTTATTGGTGAATAAAATCTGAACATGAACTTGTTTAATAACAAAAATTCAACATTTTTACGTATTTACTTTTAATTATTAAAATATTTTAAATCGTATAATTTTAATTCTGTTTTTTTTTATATATATATATACTATAAATTATTTGATAATATTAAATTCACATAGGTACCTGATTTAAAATAGGCTTCCCATCGTTTGCCTAATTCTTTTAATGTTTCACTTTTAGATTTTTGAGCTGTATAATTAATAGTAGCTGTAAAATCTTGAATAGTTACATCAGATACAAACCATGGTATAGCTTTTCCATGAAACCGTACAGTGTTTACAAGTCTGTATGTTATCAAATAATCAGCTAAACATAAGTCTGTGAAAAGTTCATAGCCCGCATTGTCCAGTATAATATCTGAAAATAAATTATATTTATATAATATATTTAGATAAGTATAAACATTTTGTCAAAACGCGTTTAAAAATAACACATATTGATAATATATATTTATGTAAAAATATTTAGAAATCTTATTAATATAAGCCATAGGTTTATTAAAAACATGCTAATATCAAATACCTAAAATTTTATTGTCATTAGATTCGTTGAGTGAAGTAAGTAAAAAATCAACTATTTTAGATGATTCGTCAGTAAGCATAAGTGGTTGTAATGAATTAACCAAATCTAATGGGCTCTCAGTTTGTGCAATAGCATCACCACCAGTTTGTGAAAGATCGCAACGGTTTCCCCACAAAGCACACTTGATGATTTTTGGTATATCTTCTCGAAGATTTTTCAACAGAACATCGTTTTTATTGAAATATTTGATTAAGAATTTTCCCAAAATATCCATAGCATCTTCACAATGTATTAAAGCATTCATTTTTTGTTCAAAAAATGGATCATAGTTTTTTAATAATGTACTAAAATGTGTAAAATAATTACATAATTACGTATAAATGTAATATTAATGAGAATAAATCTAAAATAATTTTATGAAAGTATTATAAAAACAACCACTAACCTAGTTTCAAATGCTTCAAATATACGACGATGTATATAACATTCACTATACAACCAGTTTGTATACAACCAAGTTGGACGATTTCCATCTTGATCCGAAAAATCATCAAGAACTTTATTCCAAATTTTAACGTCAATATTATCAGAGTTCAATTCTCTAAATGGCTTATTATTTGAAATATCTGCTATTAAAGTATCCAATTTTTCCAAAATTGATACAATGTCATTTTCAGCTTCCTAGAATTACGTCATATATTAAGCATTATATACATTTACTCCATAAAATAATAGGCCAAAAAAATACTTACAATAAAATATAAAACACTATGATATACAATAGTTAAGATACAGATAATACTATACGTTTTATTTTACATCATATTATATTATAATTAATACCAAAAATAAAATGTATTAAGTATAAAATAAATGTAATCAAATAAAAAAATATATAAGTAAGCATTACAAGAATAACAAGGTTTTTAAAGAGAAAAATTATTGTAAATTTCTATACACTTATAACTTAATAAGTTATATTATATTTTTAAATGCAGTGAACACGATAATTGCTAAAGAAAATTAGAATATATTTAAAAATATAAATTTGTGTTATTGAGTATTCATAATATGTTAAAGTATATGAATTAAGAATTGAAGTTTTAAAAATTAAAAATATAACTAAAAAGTACACAATATACTATAATTGTTAACAGAATTGACTCAATTTAAACATAATGTAATTAAGGTAGAAATTTGAGCTTGAAAAGAGGTATTGATATTTCAATGTTGACTAGAACAATATTGTTTCTATTCTAAAAAAATATCCTTGTACAAGTATAGGTTAATTACGTAGATATAATAGGTACATAGTAGTAATCAGTAACCAAATATGTACAAAGAATATACACATATTTTTATATACTTCATACCTTGCAACTACAAATATATACCTAAACTTATACAATATGTCATTGTTTATTGATCATTTTTTTATAATTTTAATCCAATTCCAAATGTATAATTTCTGTACAAAAAATACTAATTTTTTTATAAATTAATTTTTGTATACAAAAATATTGTATTCGTTTCAAAACTGAATTAAATACTGTGGTCACTAGAATCATTTTTGTCTATAGTTTTTTTTTTTTAATACTTTAAAAATTAATAGAAAAAAATATAAATTATTACTATTCTTATAAATATTGGCAGTACACAAAAAACATCATTATTAAGTGAAGAAAATGTAGTGTACAAAATTATTATTGCTATGAATATATTTTTATAATTTTATTGTAAATACAACAGATTTTAATTATTAACATGATTAAAAGAAATCTTATTTGATGAATGGCTAAAAACTTTCTCCAATATATTAAATAAATAGATATATATATAAACTTTTAATGTATGAAAAAAAATATAGAATGATATTCAACATACCAACATAGATTTCGACAATTATATATAAGTATAAGAACTAATAAATGAGTATAAAAATTAATAATTTCATTTTTAATATCATAACAATAATTCACTATTCAGGTCAAGGTTTGAAATGGTTTTTACTAATATAGTAATAAATATTTATAATAATTATCTTTATTTTTGTTATTTAATTAGTAGTCACTTAATACTTTCAATTTATACTAGTCTAAACTCTACAAGCAAGTGATAAATTATAATTTTTAACAATCTTAATAATCACACTTTAATCAATATTAGCTCATCAGAGTAGTATCATAATTTAAAACCGCAATAATTATTAACTTTGATGTGCATTTTACATTATACAGTATCGGTATATTATATTATAATATACACGAAGTATCTGTTAATACAATACAATTATATTAAAAATTAATATGAATTTCGTAAACAAAATAAAAATATATTCATCAGTCATCAATAATAAACCTATTAATAAAATGATATACCTAAACATCCTACTCTATACGTATATAATATTCATTTAGGTATAGGTAACTAAAAAATAATTTAACCTTAATCTATTAATCATAATCTGTTTGAATTAAACTAAGTAAATAAATAAAATATGAATATATTGAATATAAATGTAATACCTATGAAAATAAAGCGAAAATTACAAGTAATATATTCATCATATTTTATTATTGTAACAAATTGTATCTACTTAATAACTATTTTAAAAAAAAATAGGTACTTACCGCTCCATATTTTTGTAAAATAACATTCTTATTTGCTGACAAATAACTACCAGTTTTGGATATGTTAAATGGACTTAGTTTCGATAGTACTGGAAAAGCAAAACTCCTATAGACATTAATAAGGCTAGGATAATATGGATTTTGAATTTTTTTTTTTTAGGATTTACAGGATATATCTTTTCAAGCACAAAATATGATTTGGTCATCTACGAGTTCAAATATATAGTTTTTATTTCGCATTTTTTTACATTTTTAAATATATTTATTAAATGGTCCTTATAGATTATTGTACAAACATAAAGATACAACATTAAAATAAAATCGTGAACATATTTTCTAAAAATATTTAATATTTCAAAATACCAATCGTTTGTATAATATAAAATATACTCGTTGGACTAACTAAATAATAACCGATAATAACATTCGATTACGTGTTATCAATTTATTATTAAATTTAAGTCTAATTTAAATTTAAATTTTTATTTTTACAATATTATTTTATTTAAAATATATTAATTTTAGAACAAATGACGCTGGCCATTATAGATTAATTTATTTGTATACTTAAAAATATAAATTATTATTTATTAATTTATCCATATAATTATTTTTTTTCGAATATTTTATGAGGTCATTTTTTTTTTTTTTTTTTGATCATTTTTTAGGTTTTTTTGGGTCATTAAAATCCTAGCACTAGATATTAATTATTAAAATTAGATAGTAACTTAAAAAAAACAAATTAAAAAATATAAATATAAATACCTCTTAAACTTGGCTACTAATGGTTCATTCCTTGGTGGACTTTCATCAATACACAGATCAAACAATTTACTTTCAATCGTCATGGTACTGCAAATAATATTCTTAAATGTTTATAATACCTTTTACAATTATTAGCTGTATTAATAAATATTATTGAACAATCGTTTAAAAAATGATATTATTCTATAAAGTAAATTATATAAAATGTATATAAATTATTTTTATCTTTTTTTTTAATGTTTTCTTTGATGAAAAAAAATAGTTTATGAGCTTCTAATAGATTTGAAATTCCCCTAATCATTAAATAAACAACTTTAATGAATAATTAATTATTCTGTTAACAAAAAGAAGATTCTTAGCTAAGTAAAATTGCATTGACATTTCATTTCCTTTTTTTTTACTACCTACGCGTACTATTATTTTAACAAAACTTTAACATAATATTACCATGAATTTAATTTATACCAAAAAGTTATTTTCAAATTGTATAATTCACTATTGCTTTAATTTAAGTTCACTAGAGTAGCTTATGATAAATTAAGTAGGTAATTCAACGCAGAATGTATGGTAAAAATGACTAATGTGATCCACTTTTTGTAAGTTGTGTTTTTAAACAATTACACTACATAATAACTCAGCAATTTTTTGTGAAATCAGCAGATATCGTATTTAAAATCAGCAATTTTTATGATACTCGTCTTCTTCCCATTCTTTACCATAAACGGATTTTGCACTAGATCCGGAAATAGATTAGGATCTTTTACAGAGGATACCAACTAGGTAGATAAACTATCTTGTATCATATTTTTATTTGTGTTTACTATTTTGTTAATTTAGTAATTTTAACTAGGTAATAATTTATTGTTGACAAAAACATTTCATAAAACTTATATAAATTCAAACCAACAATTCATATATAATATAAAAAGCTTAAAATTAGTATATTTTGAAAAATTCATTAGGTATAGGTATCATATAGAATTATAAAAAATAATAAGAGAAATAATAGAATATTTCTAAATATTACAATAAATATTTTTTGAAATACCATAAAACAAAAAATAAAATATCCAATTTTTTTTAAGTTTATAACTTATAACTATCTGCAAATATTCATTATACAAATGTATTTTCAATATCTTTTAATTACTAAAAGAAAACATAAAAAGAACCTTGTATAAGCTTTTTAATTGAGAAATATATCAAGAAACATTGAACAAAGTCAACATTTCAAAAGTTAACTTAAAATCATCATTTTAAACCAATACATTTATCTCTCCAAATAAAAACGAAACTAATGAAATAGTATTTTTATAAAGCTTCCTAGTTATATAAATGTTAGTTATAATTGAAGTATTCTACAATGATTAAAATATTGTGATTCGTAATAATAACATTGGTTCAATTTGAATCGTATTTTTATTTTCAATAAAAAACTATACTCTTGATACTGAATAGTAATATTAAATGAAATATATATTTTTTTTAAACAGTAAAATATACGATGAAATTTTCAATATAGGTATTTAGACTATTGATAAGCTATTTAAACCACAAACTTATTCACATCGTTCTACGGTATTGCATAATATTTCCTTATAAGTTATAACTTAGGAATAATAATAAAAAATAAAAGTTATGTTTTGACAAAAATAAGTTTAACATACTAATAGAAAAATAAATAATAAAATATCCTTAAAAATAGTGGGTTAAAATTTACACATCCATTTCAGTAACCTACTCAATGAAAATGTACAAGGTAGGTACACTCAAATAATACTATACAACAGAGAAACTTCTCTATAATATCAGAAAAATTAAAATGCTACTACAGAAAAAATGTATTGTGTACAGATTTAGTTTCTTAAATAGTTAAATATGATCTATTGCGAGTCTATGAATAGCCTCTACAATTCTTATTCAGGTGAAGTGATTTTCAAAAACAATGTAGATACAAACATACTTATACATATTCATGTGAACGTATTCCTACTAAGTTATAAATTATAATAATATTTAAACAAACTAAAAACAGTTAATAAGTAAATGAACTTTAACCTATAATAAAATATCAGTTATAAGTTAAAACTTAAAACCTTATCAAATTGATATCTTACAAATTACGAGTCAGGCGAAGAATATACTTTCAGTTTTATATTACAGCTAATACTATTTTAATTGTACAAATAATATACACATTTAAAGTATAATCTAAACAATTATTCTAAATTAATACATTACTTTAATTCGTGATTGAAAGATTGTATGGAGTACTTCAGGTTATAATTAGTAAACAAGTGAACTTCAATGATATTGTTATAATGTGTATAAACTATGTGTTTACTTTTTTGTTTTAATGATAATTACTACTTGTGAATACTGAAATTATTATTATTATACGAGTTCATAGTTCACGTAAATGTTTTGGTACCTAATATAACTACTCTTCAATAAGTATCTAATGTTCACAGTTCATGATTAATCTGATTATTTTGTAAATTATATTATTTTAATCTTCCGAAGTGTACCTACTGTTAATACGAAAAAACATAACGTAATGGGTACCTACCTACCTACACCAAAATAAATGGTTTTAACGGTGTGAGAAGCTTTAACACTAGTAGATACTGAATACAAAACCCAAATGAGCTATTCAAATCTAATGTCTTTTTATATAAATTTATTCTAAATCATCAAATAACTAAAAATAATTTACATACCTATATTATTTAACAAACTTAATGAAATTATTTTAATAAATTATTAATTATTACTCTTATCAATATATTTTTTCTAAATAAGTAATTCTTATCTACCTAAGTAAAAAATTAAATAATATGTTAAGTAATTAATAAACCCTTAAAATTAATAAAATATCTAACTCATTTTGCAATTTTATTATTACACAAAATAAAATTAATAGATAACTTATTTACTATTATTACTACCTGTGTTATAGATTATATTCCTACTTTATGTAACCATATATTTTTAAAATATTGATTCTAAAAGTAGAAAAACTACGATAAAAAAATTTTATATTTCTTGTAGAACTTGAAAAAATAATTAAATTAGGTACCTATAATCAAACTGTGGCATCACATTTTACAAATTTTTAAGAACTTAGTTTATGGTAAATTTTAAGCCAAAGTATGATAGGTACGATATGTAAAATACAAACGTACCTATTATAAATAGGTAGGTACCTAATTAACTAAATAGAACATTACTAAAAAATTTTATTCAGAGCTTCAAGTTAACGAATTTATTTATAGTGCCATTACTCAATAATACTCAAAATAAAAAATGGCGTATTGACATCTCCATCTTATTAACTCATAACATACCATTATTAATACTATTTCTAAAACTTATTTTTCAGTTCTAATTTTGTGTTGTTAGCTTAAATAATAAAATATATAAAATATTAATATCCAAAAATATGTACCTACTAATAATTAATTAACAAAAGAACATAATTAGTGTTCTTGCCTTTAAATTTAATAATAGGCAAATTCACTATGATAATTAGTTAATAACAAAAAATTTAACCGAATGAACGTATATTTTGATATATTATATGTTAGTAAAACAGAAAAAAAATATACAATTATAACATAGCCCTCTTACGAACCCAAATGTTATAACTTATAAAAATAAAATATTTCAAATAAACTGCCTACACATATCTTATTTTAACATTATCAAAGTTAAACCGTTATATGAGTAGAATATTTTACTACAAAATGTCGGTTTTTATTTAAATAATTTTGGATAATTCCCAACTTTTTATTGACAAATGAGACTCAGCATATTGATCATAAATACAAATAAAATCCAATATATCGTGAGCCAATGACGAATTTTATAATGCATAGTTCCGTATAGCATATTATATATATATATATTAAATACTAGAATATCAATATTGATCTAATTTATTGATATCTAATTCAACTTTTAAAATTTCTTGGACCAAAAAAATAAAGTATGAGCTTAAACAGTGCTTCTAGTAGAAGGTTCTATAGAATATAAATCAATTTTTTTTTACTCAAGCTAATGACAAAAAATGTTTTAAATTAATAATGAAAATTTTAAATATTTAATTTTGTAATGAATAAATGATAAAATTCCAAATAATTTTAAAAATCAATTTAAAATGTAATACATTTTATACCTATTAGATACTCAGCTATGTTTTTTAACAAAAATTCTAAAAATTATTTTTTTCTTTTATTGATATACATACTATCTGTTCCTAAAAGCCAATAGGTACAAAAAGAGTATTAGCTAAAATAATATAAAAACATGGACACTTGATAAAAGAAGCCACCCAATGATGATAGTTTTAAGTGAATTTTTATTTAAGTAAATTATAAAACGAGAAGTGGTCAACAATAAAGTAAAGGATAAAAAAAATGTATCATTTCACTTTTTAAAACAATTTATAGTTAAAATATAATAATATTATAATTCCTTTTATTTAATTATATTTACTTAAATTAATATTTTAATATTAAGAATTAAATAAATAATTAAATAACTTACATTATAAATAAATCAGTATTAAATTTATAGTTTATAAATCAACAAATTTATTTAACAGGTAATTTTTTTTCTTTTAAAATAAATAGTATACGTGGTATAGGTAATTATACCTAACAGCTAACTACATAATCCACTTAAATTTAATAAACAAACGTGTACTTACGAATGTTGTTTAATTTTTGTCTGAAAGAGCAATTCAATTTGAATGTCAAGTGTCCTCGTCTAACGATACTTCAGTATTGGTTCTCGACAATTATAAGTTCGATAAGCAGTACCTATTTATACTATTGTGAAAAAAATTCGATTTTAACTTTGTCCTGAGCGGTTATTTATCAGTGGTACCGTCAAAGCTATAAAAAAATATTTGATGACGAATATTGTAAAAACAGCGCGGGCAACATAAAATAATTAATGCGTGTTATTTTGAGGTTAGCCGATAACTCCTATCAACTACAAATTACAGCTACGGCTACTAAATACAAACAACGTTCCTTTTCTATTCGTTCGTGGTTGATTCCCTACATTTTCGGTAAGTACATGCAATATTATTTTATCCGCTTGAATCCTGTAACTCAAAGCTTTGATTTATCTCAATTTTGTTTAAGCATATTTTATTAATCGCGTCAAATCAATATTAATGTCCTTCGTGGATGTTTTTTAATTTTTTTTTTTTTTTATTACACCGTACTTTCGTTGTGATCATAACCGCAATAGTTGAACCTAATAGTCATCTTTTGTCCCTGTTTAGGATACAGGTAGTCAACAACTAAGGTCATCAAGATGGCTCCAAGTGGAAATAATATGATCCCAAATGGGCATTTTCACAAAGACTGGCAACGTTACATTAAGACTTGGTTCAATCAACCAGCTCGTAAATACAGGCGCCACCAGAACCGTATCAAGAAGGCCAAAGCGTTGGCACCTAAACCAGCGGCAGGTCCTTTGCGACCGGTTGTACATTGCCCCACATTACGGTATCATACTAAAGTTCGTGCTGGTCGTGGTTTTACTCTGCAAGAGCTTAAGGTAATTTTATTTGATAATATTGAATATTAAATATTTACTAAACTATGTCCACCATTTATCAGGGTGCTGGTTTAAATAAACATTATGCTCGTACCATTGGCATTGCTGTAGACACCAGGCGCCGAAACAAAAGTGTAGAATCATTACAAGTGAACATTGAACGTTTGAAGGAGTACCGTTCCAAATTAATTTTGTTCCCGCTCAAGAGCAAGACCAACAAGATTAAGAAGGGTGAAGCTACTGTACGTATACCAATATAATTATAATTTTTTTTTCGATTTTACTAATATTTTGTATTATTATATAGGTAGAAGAATGCAAGACAGCTACACAATTGAAGGGAGATGTATTGCCCATTAAACAATCTGCCAGCAAAGAACCTGAAGCTCGAGCTATCACTGAAGAAGAAAAGAAGTTTAATGCTTTCAATGCTATTTGCCAGGTAAGAAAAATATATAATGTAGTACTTATTAATGCACATTTTTAAAATCCACATTTTGTTATTTTATAAACGTGCGAGTCATAGGTGTGCAAAATTATCAATTATTTTGTTGCTTTGATAAACAAATTTTTGTATCTTTCAAAAATATTAATAAGAACAAATTGACATGTTTATTATTCATATTATAACTAGATTATTAAATGTACAATCCTTAAAAGAGCTACTGTTTACCATATGGTTTTTTACATGAGTAGTTCTTGAGTCAACCTGTACAAAATTAAATTATAGGTTAGTAATTTTTCAACACTTTTTGTTAGGTGTTGTGTAAAACTATCTTAAAGACATAATTTGAATTAATACTACTATAGAATGCATAACTGTGGTATTAATTCAATCACTTTATGGCCTGTCCAATTTTTTTTTTATGACTGAAGAGAATTTACATTTTATGTTAGTGAAAATAAAAGATTTTTAAAATTATATTTTTTAGATCCTTCGTGTGTAACTCAAATAAAATTAGTGTTATTAATGGTTATGTATACTGTGACTAACTACAATACCTTGTAACTAACCCTTTTCATAATCAAATTTGTGTTACCTTTATATATGTAATTACTATTTTAACTGTACCACCTATTTTATTATGCTATAAATAACATTATTTGAACAACATTTATCGCTGTGTTTATACATCATTCATAATCTGACTGATAGTAGATACCCTAATAATTTGTAGTTATTTGTAATGATAAATAGTAAGGTAAATACTTAACTGCTGCCTGCTATCTTAACAAAAATACTTGAATACCTTGTTACTCGTAAATAAATTCCAATTTTTTAGGGTATTTTCGATATGTTACATTTAATGTGCGACAATTTCTTGTTGAAAAATCCAAAAAAAAAAAAATATGTTTTTATAATTTTTAAACTCACTTTGAAAGTTAGAGTACAATTTGAATAACTAACTAACCTTTAACATTTTATTTTTTATGTCTTAAAAAAATCATTTTATGATTTTTCCTCAAGCAATTGTCGCACATTAAATATAACACGTCAAAAATACCCAAAGAAATTGGTATTTAGTCACGAGGTATTCAAATTTACTTATTATTAAGATGGCAGGCAGTAGTTAAGTGTTTACTTTATTATTTATTATTACTAATAACTAGGGCCCATTTTATATGCTCTAAAAACCTCAGAAATATGCATTAAAGTCAAATGAAAGTTATGTGCACTCAGATCACAACTAATGTATAATTCACTAAAACCTACTAAATAAAAAGATGACTACTTTTCTCTCTAAGCACAATAATTGTGTTATTAATTAAATATAATATTATATCATATATTTAAAATATAAATTGGATAATTTTTTCTAGAAACTAATAAATTAGTTTTTATCCTTTCTAAACAGTTTGTGGTATGCACTTATAGAATCATTCTGTTATTTTTATTTTATTTGAAAGTTTAACTAATCAAACTCATTTAATATAGTATATAAATATGAAGTAAAAACATAGATTTTCATTTTTAGAAGTTCACTATTTATGTGTATGACCTTTTGAAAAAGCATTGAATTCTATTTCACTTTATTTCAAACTTGTGTTTAAAAAGTAATTACTAAAAAGCTTACTCAGAATCCTCATGTTTTGTAACAAAGAAACAACAGTAAATACACAATACTTAATAATTATTTAATTTCATAATAACATTAAATAGAAAAAGTATTCATTTTTTTGAAAAAATTTTAATTATTTAAACTGCTTTCAGCTTATAAGTAAAAATGCAAAATTTGTTTCATATTTATTATTTATATATAGCTTTGTAGTCAACAGATCAATATACTGAAATCTATAATTTACATACATAACATGCAACCATTTAGATAATTTATTAATAACATTATATCACTGTTGTTATTTTAATATTTATATATGTGTTCATGTATATTCTTACCATAAAATATAGTTATATATAGTTATATTATAGTAATATAGTTATATTATGAAAACCACCCTAACTTGGAGAACAGTAACATTTTTATTGAATCTATTATATTAATTTATTTTACATAATAACAATAACTCAATTGTGTATGTGGGTAATTAAAAATGTTGTATGGTTGGTTACAGGCAAGACTTGAAGCTAAATTGATTGGTATTAAAGAAAAGAAGGCCAAAGAAGCTGCTGAAAACCCTGATGCCGCCAAAAAAGCCGCTGAAAAGAAGGGTAAAGGAAAGAAGAAGAAGTGATTGGTGGTATATTTTGTTTGACTTTTATAATAATAACTCAATAAAAACGTTAAACTTAACATTGGTTATTTATTTTTTTAAATACAATATCAAAAATATGAATCTTAGTTGTTTATTATAATAGGTGCCAGTTACATCAGTTTGTATAACTTCTTATTCTTTAAATTTCAAAATTAAATTAAATACTAAAATATTGATTAAGAAATATTTAGTTCCTAGGTATTTGAGAAATAACTTTTGGCACATATTGTGAATCATCTAATACTTTCTGCATGTTAATGTTTACACATGGAGTATATATTTTGGGAGTAACTGAAAACTTAGTTCCGGCTATATCTATTTCATATTTAGCTGTTGGAGACAATATATAATCATTTGTGATGACCATATGATTCCTATTACGATTATCTGTAAAAGGTCGACGAATATATGCTAAACACACTAATTTTTCCATGGTGAAACCATATCTGAAATATAAAAAATAATTTTTTTCTATAAATAAATTATTATGTATATGCATTGAAAATTTTAATTCATAAAAAGTAGTTTAATGATGATAATAGTTTTAATTACACTTACCCAGCTGACGTTACGGTTCCGACAAATTTACCATTTCTGTAAATAGGTTCCAATCCCCAACACCATATATCTTTATCAGAGTCTAAATCATCTAATATAAACATAACAAGTTTCTTGGTAATTCCTTGATCTTTTTGACGTTGTAGCGCAAATTTCCCAATAAAATATTCTTTCTGGAAAAGGAGAAAGATGGAATACTTTTTATTAAAATGTTAATATATGGATGTGAATAATAATTTAAAATGCATTCGATTACATACATCAAGTTTTACAACATGATTGCAACCAGCTTCAAATGGTGTAGTGTCACGAGTTAAATCTTCTGCCCAAAATGGTATAAATTTCTCAATCCTCATAAACCGTTGAGTTAAACTTCCAACATCCCTAATTCCATAGTCAAATCCAACCGTAATTAAACGATCGTACACATGCAGTGCATATTCAGATGGTATATACAGACAAAATCCAGGTTCACCAGTATGTGTAAAAGCCATCATCATAACATCAGAAGCGTAACCAATGTTGACAGTCTAAAAATACAATTATATAATTGAATTCTTAACAGTAGTATTTTATTTCAAAATAACTATTAACTTGCCTTATAAGTGAAAGGTTGTACATTAATGTCAATATCAGTTTGTGATAGTTCAGATATTAAAGCACCTGCTTTAGGACCAATAATATTTACGACAGTATACATAGAAGTTATATCTGCTAACTGAATTGATTCATCTTTTGGTAAATGGTCTTTCAGCCAATCTAAAACTCTAGTTTGTTGGCTAGTTGGTGACACCATTAGATAACTGTAAGTATGTAATTAAATAAAAAAATCATTAGTTGAAGTATATTAAGTATTTGAATATTGTCAAAAATTGTTTCCTAAAAATTTAACATAGTAAGATGCATAATTAATGTTATTAATAAAGAAGCTTTTTTTCATTTCTTACCAATTTTCTCGTTCACGCACTAATAAACAATCATTTTCGTAACCACCTCTTTCATTCAACATTCCTGTGTGGACAATACCACCAACTGGAATATTTACATCGTTAGTACACAAAGATTGTAACCATTCAACAACACCATTACATTGAGACTGAAAATATTGAATTATAAGAAAATTTTAGGTATAAGTAAATCCAAAATTTTTAATCTGTCTCACATAAAATATAATGTGTTTACCTCTGTTTCTTCATTAATATCTTGTTTTCCCTTGATATATATACAAAAATAATTATTATATGATATTCTGTCTTACACAAAGAGACATTTAATAGATTATACATGAACAAAAGTGTGTCCAGAATTTAAATACAGGACAGGCTTGGTTATAAAAAAGTGTGCTGTATACACATATTTGGTAAATTATAAAGAATAAGGGTTCAATACCCGAGTAGACTCAAGTCTACCAGACCTTGCTGGACACGCCACTGTGTATAAAAAATAAAAAATGCTATTTTAAAATACCTGAATTTTCATTTTAGAAAATGAAGACATATCTATAATACCAACAGTTTCTCTGCAAGCATAATATTCTTCTAACATAAAATCAAAGAATTTTGGTTTGTAAAATGTACCCGGTGGCATTTCTGGTGGAGATCCCTTTCCTATAAAAAATATTTAATCCTGCATTACATTTGAAAAATTAAACTTAATATAAAAACACTTAATTTTTATCTTTAAAAATAATATAATACTTCTGTTTAAATTTATTTTTATTTACCATTGTATGTTGTATCAAAGTATAAAGGTCGTTCATATCCCATTCGAGTACCAAAAACTGCTCCTCTTTTTTCCAAAACACTGAACAATGGTGAACATCGTAATTTTCTAGCATTTTTATATTCATTTTGGTGAGGATATGGTATTGAATAGTGTCTTAAATAATAAAATTATAAATCAGGTACTACATTTTTAAATTATCACATTTGATTTAAAATAAAATATAAAAGTATCATAATTTTTTTCTGCTAAAATTTAATAATTACATTAGATTATATAGTAACTTTAAGTCTCAAAACATTTTAACTTCTTAAATAGGTTCTTTTAAAAAGTAAAAGAATTTCATTTTTAAATAATGATAAAAATGATGTACAACATACTATAAATGTAATATTTAAATTACATACATGTATTTAATAATTTAATACCATTATTACTTTTAATTATTTATACTAAAAATATAATTTATATTGTTTATAGAATAAAGTTAACTACTTAAAAATAATACCTGCCAACTACTTCTTTTGTACGTTCTTGTAAATACATTCTATTATTATGAAGGTCTAAAAATCGTTGTACATCAAAAGCTAAATGTTCTTGTGTAGGTTTTCCTTCTATAATCCATTCAGCCATTGCTTTTCCTATCCCTCCAGCTCCTTGTAATGGGTTACCATTCATTCCAACAGCTACAAAGTAGTTGTCAATCTAAAAAAAATTGTTATGTCACTTTAATGTTCAACAATAATTAATATTTTATTGATCAGCTCTTTGTTCAATACAGATAATTATTGTATGTTACACTCGCATAGAGTTGGCTCATTATAAATACATGAAAGTTTAAAGTGAAACATACTCTTACACATTATGTATTTTTTGTGTCATCACTTATTGATCATTAACTTCTACAGTAAAACCTATTAATACTGGAAACTCTTGATTCTAAAAATATTATCTTTTATTGAGAGAAAGGGAGTTAAATGAAAAATTAACAATATCAAAATACATATGTATATTTATATTATTATTATATTATTTGTATATATGATTATACTTATAAATATTATCTTTTAAAACAAAATTAGTTTTGAATGAGACAGCAATGTCATGCCGTGATAAGATAAAGAATAATAGTATAATGTGTAAAATTCACATTGTAATGAAATATACTAAGATAATAATTACAATAAAAATTATCAAAATTTAACCATAAAAGTATATATTGTTTAGACAGTCCAGTAAAGACATTTTTCTAAAGACAAATAGTGAAAATGTTCCCATTCTTTAAAAATTGTTCACTATTTAGAAGTGTCTATTAAGAGAGATTTCACCATATATATTTATGTAAGTTCATATAAAAACTACTTTATAACTAATTTACATTATAAATTAATATTAACAATATTAATTATAAGTTATAACTAAAAGTAGGAATTTAAAAACTTGCATTCTTTTTTTTATCAATCTTACAGAATACTAATCAAACTCAAAATTAGTATTATATTAAAATTCAGACTATATAACTAATTGCCTATATTGTCTTTTTAAGACTTTTTTACTTGTTTTTGGATATTTTTTACATAATTATTTCATATTGTACAAATATATTACGTAAGTGTTGTTAATTTAAACTTCTAAATATACATTATTAATTCTATTTGGTTGCATTTAAAATTCTTTTAAATGTGTTTGGATACTTGCCATATCCATTCATAAATTTATTTTATTTTATATCAAAAAAGTATCATTATAGTTTCACCTATTTATCTGTAGAATATTTATGAAAGTACATGTAAAATTAAAAATTATTAAATAAATAATATATTTTATTTGTGAAAGCATAGCTTGTTTATATTTATAGTTAAAAGTTTAAAAATTTGAATTTAGCAATTAATATTATATAGAATAAAGTTAATTTAATTTTTGGGTATTTTTAGGATTGTTAGGCTAAGCCTATTTATCAATATTCGATAACTGCTTTAAAATATTTTACTTCTGGTGTTTCTCCCAAAATCCATTTTCCATTTGGTGTAAATGTATCTGGAGAATTTGCTAGTGTTGGATAAACAGCATCCTTAAGAATTGGGATTCGAGACATAGCTTTTTCCCAATATGGCACTAAAACAAATTTAATTTAAACTATATCATAATTCACTATTTTAATTTACTTACTAAAATGTTTCCAATCTAAAGGCATATCTTTTTTCCAATCTGGTGGAATTAATTTCATATTAAGAAAAGCAGGTTTAGCTGTTTTTTCAAATCCGCCTACCAGGAATCCAGAGTTATACTCTCTGGCATAAATATGAGAATCAAAATCTCTAATACATGGTAAATCGACACCAATTCCGGGCAATGGACTAGTTGTAACATAAAAATGTTCTGCTGGGTATACAGGCACTCTGACTTTAGGAGAACACAAATTCCCTACTTCTCTTGCCCACTAAAATAAATAATTTATCATTAACCTTTATTTTAAATATCATATCAGAATTATTGTTGTTTTACCATTCCTGCACAATTCACAAAATATTCACAGTAGATAAACCCTCGACTAGTATGCACACCTTTAATTCGATCTTCTTCGGTGACAACTTTCTCAATGTGACAGTTAGTAACATAATGAGCACCACCTTCAGAAGCTAATTTAGCTAAGGATTTACATATTGCTTGAGGGTTTGCCACTCCATCTTCAGGTACCCATACTCCACCTTCTAAGTCATCAGTATTTAAAAATGGATGTAACCTTTTAAGTTCATTTTT